CTGTGTGTTCAACCCTTGTACCGGACATTGTGTAGAACCACACAATGCGAACGTGCTTTAATTTAACTTTTTATGGTAGCTCTGACAGTGATTTTGGTCGTTGTCCTCCTTGAAAGTAAACTTCAGTTCCTACCCATCTCTAGATTTTTTTCAGCATCTGACACCTTTTTTTCTTGTTTCTGTATTCAGCTTCACCCATCTTCCCATCATCTAGTGTCCAGCTTCCATGTCACCAGTGAAGAAAAGCATGAAGAAGCCACCACTGTATTTGGCAGCAGGAATGATGTGCATTTTGGATACAGGCAAAAATCTCATTTGGTCGCTCTCTCCTGTTTGCTGCTACCCCATATGTAGCAAAAAATAATTTAAAAAAAAGTTATATGCATAATTCAAATGTAATTAAGTTCTTCAAGTCACCTACACTGTTTGATAATAAGCTAGGAGCTTTAAAACATATTGTAAACAATATCTGTTTATTTTACGTATATGCATATATATTTGATTTTTTTCAGATTTTCACTTATCACCTCCCGCTTTCAATCCCAATTGTAATTTAGAACCTGTTTTGAGTGAGATTAAAAAAAAAAAAAAAAAGGGTTGCAGACAGAAGGAGGAGGAGCTGGAAGAGAAGAGTAAGGGAGAAGATTAATCATGCCTTAAAACTGTAAACATTGATAAATATCCAACTAGTTGCAGCATTTTGTGGGTGGGGGTCACACATCTAAGATTATCTTGTCCCCGGTCCAGGCAAAGCTGTCAGCTGGCGTAATCACAGACATTACTTCAGGAAGCGAGTCTTCTGAATAACGCGTTCAATTCATGTTTAATCTAATTACTTTTAACTCAAATCAAAACACACAGGCCTTTTCTGATTTGAGGCTAAATTTCATAATTGTCTGCAGTTGTCAAACCCTTCCTATGCAAAATATGTATGCGTTATAATCATGACAGGGCAATGGTTGAATGCATTGTGATTACAACAGCAAATGGTTGCTTGAACTACAAAAAGTGATGATGAGCAAACAGCTGCTGATTACAGGAAACTGTAGAAAACAGTATTTGTTTTGTTTTGTTTTAATTTGATGTGTTGGTAAATTCATGTCGCTGTTCTCTGCTAATCTTAAATGGATATTCTTGTGAAATCAATTCCAGTTTTTCAGACCAAGTTTTACCGAGCTCGACCAGTTACATAAATGTTGTTATTGTAGCTTTATCTTTAAAATAGTCTAATAATAGGCTGTCAAATTAAGAAACTGATAGCAAGAGGAACAAAACTTTGAGATAACTTGGATATTTACATTATATCCGCCTTAATGAGTTGCCTTGTTCATTTGTTCAGTAAATAGCAAAGCACACTGTTATTAAATTGTTTTCCCTTCCCTTATAAATGCAAATCATAAACTGCTTGACTTCACTGCCTCCTTTGTTGCTTTGTTGTTACGCCACAGCAAAGTACAGCATGAATAATAGTCCTTTTTTCTGCACAGAGTAAGCGGTGGTGGTGCGTGGGTGTATTTTGGGAGCAGTTTGACATTAAAAGATAAAAAGGGAAGAGTGCAGTGAAAGACGTGGTTAGTCACAGGTGTTCTGGCTGCTGACGTAAACTCCTTATGCTCGGCCCCGGGTACAGTCACGTAATAAAGGACAGATTCCAGCGCGTAGATGAGTGGGCTGTAACAGACACCATGAGGTGTACATTCAAGTACAAGTTATAGAAGTACAATGCATTGCAATGCTCTCCATCTTAAAATACACAGCAGCATTACTTAGGGAAATTGGATGTGTCCATGCTAAATCCATACACAGACTGATTTCCTTACAGATGGCAATAGAACAATGTCATGTGGATACAAAAAAAACCTAAAGAGTAAAGCAAAGTCTTTTTAGTAGAATAATCAATACAAAAAAAAGAAGAAAAAAAAAGAAAACAATCCCCCTGCAACTGCTGTTATTGAACTATGACCTTACAGAGCCGTACGTACAAAATAAGTTATTGGATGAAGTAATAGGACTCCTAAGTGCCCCAGTAACACTTCACCCTAATTGTGAACTAGAGTTACAACTCAGGAAAAACTGAAAGCACAGTGCAAGTACTGCACTGTGCTTCAGGAATAAGGTAAACCATATTCCTGTGCACAAAAGATTTAATTCATGGTATATATATTTTTTTTTCCAGATTTATATATATATATATATATGAAAAACTGAGTCTGCATTAAAAAATAAATATGCAGTCAATGTAATCAGTTCATTTCACCTCATGTCAGATTTCATTCTGATGAAGGGAACAGGACTATCTGAATAAATCTATTTGCAATCTTTTTCTTTCTTTTCCTGAAGATTTAAATGGGCACTTAAGTAATTTAATATTGCACTTGCCTTCATGAGGGGCACTCAGTGATGCTACAAGGACTTGCAGTGATCTGGACTTTAACTACGGAAGTTATGATTGTATCTTGGTAAAGGACATGCACCACAATATTTGCAGATTCTCTTTGCAATTGACAAGAGGAAAGACAGACATGAAAACAAAAATCTGTCAAAGCAATAAATGAAAGCTTGCCACCTTAATCAATACAGTTACATAAAAGCAAATTCAACACTGATTCAGATTTTTACAGGATTGCAGGGTTTCCCCCAGTGTATCATAAGCCTGGCGGCCCGCCATGCTTTACTAACCCCGCCGCCAGGCTAAGCGTTGCTTGTTTACGTTTCTAGGAAAATAAAAATAATATTTTTTTATTTTTTTAAAGCCGGGCTGCAAGCGTCTCTTTTGCTCTTAGCATTTTACTAGCAGAGCAGATTTATTTAAATAGCATTTCACTGGAGATCTTTTCCCGTAACATATAATTACACAGCAATACTTTTACATTTCCTTTCAACTTAATATCTTTTAAGACAAAAACAAGGTGGACCGCCGGTGGACCGCCTCGACGCCCCGACCACCGGGCTTAGCAAGTTTTCTGGGGGAAACCCTGGATTGCAATAAAAAGTGAAATCATGCACCTCAATAGAGTCTATAAACACGACCCTCCCCCCCCAAAAGACCATTTTCATAGTGCTGGAGTTTTTCTTTGTAAACTGTTATTCATTTGGCTTAATAATTTTCCAGTCAGTGGACCACACTGTGTTTGAAAACAGGAAAATTCCAACCCGGATGGCTGGAGGTAAAATCTTCAGCACTTTCTTTTAAAGCAGGCAAATTCTCACAGGAAATATAAAATAATCTTTTAAAGTAAGATCAAACTTTTGTCTATGGGAGCCTCTTTTGTAAATTTAAAATAAATTAAAATGTAATTAGAAAGTGTTTACTGCCCATCCCTATGCAATTTATGTAATTGAGAAATCCATTCACACTGCCTGCTTTCCCTGACAGGAGTCTGGAGAACACCACAAAACAGTAAATATAATAAAAGTGGCTTGTCTTACATCTGTTTATTGATCTGTTTTATTCAACCAAGAACTCAATGCAGCTCTGAGGAGAGCAGCCTGACAGTGCAACACTTCCTCTCCCCTGTATTTTTTGTGCCCTTTTGGTGTTAGTGAAGCTTCTGTCCAGCTGCCAAATATCCAGAGGTAAAGAGAAAAAAAAGCACAAGATTTCCAAGTCATGATGAAATGTAACATATAGCAGCTCGGGAAGATAAAGCACACGTTTTGGTCACAAGTTAAAGGCATCCGAGTTGGTTACCGTTATCTTCAATTTGTGTTATTTTGCAAGTGAAGACTTTAACAGTCAGCAGGCGCATCAACTGGAAAGAAGTGATGATGAGGTGGTGGTGTGGGAGGAGATTCTTATTAAACGCAGAGCAAAGTATTTGCCAACAGGATGAGGTCAAATACACAGGGAACAGAGTTTGTCATATTGTTGACTTTTGGCCACACAAATGTGAAATAATGAAATATAAACCATTAGAAATCATACAAACACACAGCCTGAAATGTACAATTTCCTACCACTTAAATGACGTAGCCACTTTAGACTCCGCCTTTTCACCGAACCCACTGATGCATTCATATCAGTCACATGGTTGAAGTGGTTGTCATCAGTTCTCAGGGTTGGAAAAAGTGTGAGGAATGTCCTGTGCATTGACTTTCTTACCTTTTGACAAATGCCACGTACCCTGTGCTTCAGTAAACTCTTATGATTTCTATTATCACATGCTCATGTCAAATAACCACTTTTTTTCAAAGCCTTATATTAAATGAAACTAAGTTTTTTTTCTGTTTTGGGTCAATTAGGACTACAAACATTATTTCTATTTTTTCTAACCACCAGAATAATTAATGAACTATTCAGAGAATTGTATTTTTACTTCACTTAGACAAAGTTGTATACGCATAAACTGGGGACATGCTACACAACTCTTCAGTCTACACAGATTCTAAAAGGATTTGGAGTTCAGTTGTTTCAGCAGATTTTTTTTTTTTTTAATCACAGAACTGGATCCAAAACCTAAAAACTAAGCCTATTGAAGGATCACAAACTGCGTGCATGAGGGGAGGGGATCAAACCAGCTAAAGTGAGCTGAACGCCTTAAACTTGCAAAGAAAACAGTATTGGCCTGACGAGATTCCAAATAAGAAGCATGAAGGAAAAAAAAAATAATGTGCAGTAAGTTGGCGTCCAGTCGTTAACACACTTATCCTTAAAGGGTCGCAAGGGGGGCTGGTGTCTTTCTCCAGCAGTCAGCAGGTGAGAAGCGGGGCACACCCTGGGCAGGTTGCCAGTCCATCGCAGGGCAACACAGAGACAGATTCACACTGAAGGAGAATTTAGACAGACCAATTAACCTAATAGTGAAGATTTTGGACTGTGGGAGTGTAACACAGTAGTGAAGAGTACTATTTTAAATTAATTGGCCAATAGGTTCGGCTATCGGAGCACAGTGGGGTGTTTAGATGAGACACGAAGGCAGTTGGATGAATTTAAAAGCAAAATAAAATTACACACAATGAAATGCATAAAACAGTAGTAATACTTGGTCAAGTGCTAATTTTCAGTTTTAAATATTTTGGGTGCATCCTGGTAATCTGAATTCTAAACCGCGATAAACAGATTAATCAAATTCAGTTCCAATTCAGATTCGACTCAACACCATTCACATGAGGAGAATTTCCTACACAGCAGTTTGTTATAATGTCCCAAAATAAAACTTCTCAAAAAGGTAATCTCCAAAATTCCAGAATGAAACAAAAGGAATGAAAAATGTCTGTCAGTGGTCTCACGCATAACCAACTGTGTGTGAAGATGTGAGTGATACAGGCCTACCACAGAGGACGGTGCAGCAGGACTCCAAATGGAAAAGAAGGAATCCAGTTCTTTCTCCAAGTCCAGGTGGGAACCAAAAACACAGGAGGAAGCCACCTAAAATCCTGACCTGTCAAAAGACAGGACCAGCAGAAATATAGAATTGTTATTAAGCTGTTCTAGCTTTAATCCATAAATCAAATTTCTGTATGCATCAATTTGTCAGTAAATTGCTCAAATTTGCAATAAAACAATTCTCTTTTACCTCAATGCAGTATTTCACAGCATTATCAATTCACTTTTTTGTTAATTCCAAAATCATTTTTCAAACACAATATTAAACATTACATTTTACCCAAAATCAGTAAAATTTTACATCTGAATAATTACATAGTTCAGATATAGGCTATTATTCAACAAAAATGTGATAAACAGAACAAAAACCCAAACGAAGGCACAGAATATGCTCACCGATCTCAACACGACACATTTGGGACAACAATATGGTGGCTCTCAGTCCGGACACGTGGGACACTAGATAATGTAACAAGGCATATTTTCATGCTTTCAATAACTTTCATATTATTTTATATGGAATATAAAATAATAATTTTATATTTTATTGAACTTTCATCAATAACTTTCATATTATTGAAGGAAGTTCAATAATATGAACTTTCATCGTGAATAAAGTAAACATATACTACATTTTAGTCTTTACCTTCAGCTGAACGGAGAACGAGATGAACTTCCAGGAAACCAATAGCCAATTAGAGCTAACGAGGCTAACGAGGTAGCTCAAACATGCTCGGCAGAAAAAGTGAAGTTCAGTCTGTTTACTCACTTCACTACTTCCAGCTCAGAAGTTGGATGATAAACAGTAAGCATATTTGGAAAAGGGTTCGTTTCCAGTTCATGTCTAGTATTTTTTCTGACTTAAACAACACGGACTCTCACGCTGCACAGCTTAGCAGTTTCTTCCTCATGTCGGATCTCTCCCGCACACACAAACAATGCTGCAGACACGGGGAAGAAGGGCGGGACCTACAGCGGCAATTTGCATTCTGATTGGTTGATACACACTGGAAACTAACTTCCTATTGGCTAGGTAGACTACCTTGCTTCTTTAGCTTCTGTTTCTCAAGGAGATATCCCCATTTTATGTGGGTTACAGAAGTAAATCGGAGTACCTGGATAGAATCCACGCATCAGTAAGTGGGTGCGTTGCACGCAATCTACAACTATTCACCGCGAAATTGATTACAGGAGCAACAGTGGTGCAGACCACCGTATTTAAATGAGGGATTTGCTTGAGTCACTGGCTGTCATGATGGAGAGTGTTAGAAAGCAGAGTGGACATTAAAGAAAAATGAAGTAGAAAGTCATTATACTGGATGTGTAATTATAATAATAATAATAATAATAAAAATACAATTCATGTAAATTAGTGTACAACTTATTTTATGTTTTTTAAATGTTCTGAAATATTTGACAACAATGACTTCAGTCATTGGCAAACTCATATTTCTCTGAATGCCAATTCACACCTACTTTTAAAAATATAGATGCAAATACAGAATCAAGCAATCTGGTTTCATAATTTGCATTGCAAGTGGGAGATCATTACTTTTGCCTATCTTCCTCCCCAGTACTTTGCACTTTCTGATGATCAGCATGTGTTTTGCATATTCATGAAGGCAGGCACGCTAAATTTATTGCACCTGCGATTCTCCTCATTTTACTTTCGCAATTCTGTTTGCAAACTGAAAATTCAGTTTGCGCGTTGTTTGTAGATCAGGTTTGTGTATGATATCAAGCTTGAACATGTTTTTTTTTTTTGTTTTTTATACACAAACATTTTAGTGGATCAGGCTGTGTGTGGGTGTGGTTTTGTTTTTGTTTGTTTTGGATTTTTATATTTTTGCTGTGCATGTAATTACTTGATTTTAGCTTTGTGCTTCCTAACTCTAAGTCATTGTTGGATACACCTCTTTACCTACACATGTTATTACCCCGTGGTGCTCTCAGTTGTTTCCCTGCTTCTACGTTTTCAGTGTCTTTTTCCTTTCTGTGTGTGTACTTGCGAAACCCATTTTGACCAACCAAAATTTTATGCATTCTTCACATTGTTCCAATAATAAGATCAGGTGAATTGTTGGGCCAAAACCTGGGTGGAAATTATCTCAGTAATTGGTAATAATTCCAAAGATAAGAAAGTGTCAGGAGTCCCAAGACGGCAGCCTTATCTGTGAGATGTGCAGGGAATTAAAATGTGCAACCATCCAGCAACCACCAATAAGTATCTCAACAGACTCTCCCTCAAGCACACACACTCACACACGCATATGCACACACACATAGTATGTGCGACACAGACACGCTTTCTTTCTGTGAAAAAGCAGTAAAGGCTGTATTAATTAGTTGCCCACCTTCCCATTCACTGATCTCCTTCAGGCTTTGTTTTGCCTTTGTATGCATTGGGTAATCATGTATAATTGTCCTAGGGTGTAAACATCAAGCTGCAAAGCAATCTCATAATGAGCTTCTCATGGTCTGTGCAACTTGTCCTGTGGCCTAAACTCACATATACATATTATTTTAAAAGGTACTAGTGCAGATAATAAGAGACGATATCTAAGGGTAAGTCTTAGTGTCCTTTATAGTCACGGGTTTCCTTTGGAAGACAAACATATGCATGGCCCTTTGTAAAGCAACTGTGACATTTTGGTATACTTTCTTCACTTTGCCATCTACTCAGCATACAGTATGTTTTTGACCTTGCTGATGTTCATGTAAAAAGAAAGGGGTTCCTAAAAACTGAACTTTTACATTGCATCTGCAGGAGTGATGATGTTTAATGTAGAGGAACCTTGGATTGTTAAGGTTGTCATGGGTACTGCCTGGTAAAATGTAGGATGTTTCAGTGTTTCCACGTGTAGAGGATATTTGCAGGAAAAATAGTTGGACATTGTTAAATTTGTCGTTGAGTGTTTCAGCTGCTCTAACTGTGATAACACCACTACCAGTTGACTGTAGGCTATTCAGCAGAGGGAAATTTTGAATGTATCACATTACAAAAATGTAGTGAGGTCCTACGAGTAACCAACTCTTTCACTAATGTTTTTAGAATCTGTTCACTTGCCCAGTTGCTGCCCAAGGCATGCAGAGAGCCTGGTTGAAAGGATTTCAAAATTATTTTGTGATTAAGTTCTTAATTAGTTGCACACACTTAGTAGCTGCTACGAAACACATACAGTGGTGGAAGGCTCTTTGCTGATTCAAATTCATTAGCTAAAAAGTGTGGTGACTGAAGAATTTAACAGAAACCCAACACTTACAAAATGCAGCAGCATGAAAAGCAAAGTTGTGTTTCTTCCATAGGTTCAAATACGTTAGTGTGATTGTTGATTTTGTTCATATCAACCATGATGACACTTTGTGTAGTATACCTGAATGAACTAGCAAGCACACTTTAACAAAGAACGACAGATGCAGTGACAAATTCAAGTTTATTGCTGCCTTATTTACCAAACTGCTTATCAATGATTTACAAGGTGTAAATGATTTAATTTTTAGAGAAAATGTCACCGACATTTTACTATGAAATCAAGCCACAGTTTTCATAAATGTGTCATGATTTATTATTGGTAGTATAAATAATACAGTAGCAGCACAAGAAAAACTAAAAACATTCAGACATTTATATATATATATATATATATATATATATATATATATATATATATATATATATATATATATATAAATAAATAGAGAGAGCTTGCTGCAAATGGATTGTATGTGAAGTTCTACAAAGATGCAAAAACACAAGACAAGTCAGTAGGATTGCCTTAAACTGCAAGCATCTGAGCTTGAAAACAGCTGGACCACTGAGATACCACTGTGCCTGAATATTCCACCTGGTTTATTATGAATATCCAAACTCAAAAAAACCCCCCAAAAAAACCCCACACTTTTCCCCGAATCCTTCTCATGTGTCAAGAAGGGCAAAGCCATGTGCTATCTGGAAGGAGAAGAAAGCCAAAGCACCTGCTCTTATTACCATAGCGCCCCTGGAAGCATTAGGATGCATATTGACAACAGGACCTTGTGCAATTACAGGCTTTATCTTCCTGCCTGACAAACTGTGCGCTTCATTACGAGCTTTTAGCTGACACCTTACCTCAGCCTCCCCCGCTGGATGATCACTTCTAATGCGCAAAATGAAACGGCTAAGAGGTTTGTTAAATTCGTCTGAATTGTTTAACCATCATTTTCTTTTTAAATAGTTATTTAAAGCTTCCATTAGCAAGCAGATGCAGAGGATGACAGCTGAATGAAGAACACTGATGGACACAGAGGAAGAGCATTAAGTAAATGTGCCAACAACTCAAAGACATTTCGAGCGAAACATTATTATGAGAAACAAGGCAAGTTGCGATTCTGGTTATTAATTTAGGTGCTTCATTTTCTTTCTGAGGAATAAGGAGGTCAGGTTAACAAGTTAGATTTTGTGCTTTGTTCCCAAATGTATTTTAAACATATTTCTTGTTTAAGACAGAGAGGTTTGTCCTGGTAAAACAGGCTGTGTTTAGACACAGCATCACTTGCTGAGTATGTGGGTGTTCATGTAATCTACATTAATTTTTCACGATTTCCCAGGTCCAACAATGGCACTGGCCTTTTGTGGGTTTTTTTGTTTTTTTTTCATAATGTCTGAATTGAGATTTGGACTGAGATTTTCATCCTGGAAACTAACAAGAAAGCCAACATGCAATTTTAGGATCTTTGAGAATATGTCCTTGCATTATTTTGTCTTTTTTCTTTGAAAATTTCCTGAAAACATTATTTATCCAAATAACTTTTGGGACAATTTGTTGCTGTGACAGGCTTGTGTGTGTCCATATTTTTATGTTTTGCATGTCTCCTCATGCTCTGTTATGGATTGGTGACCTTTCCACAGTATCTTCCATATCGACAATATGATAGTTAACGCAATTGGAGATTAGTGTTAACTATCATGCAAACATTAAGTGGGTATAGAAAAATGTTTGTTTAATGATTCATTATTAACCCATAAATTATAAGTCAGCTTATGTATTATTCTTTTCAGTCCAGCGTTTAGAGGCCTTAGCTTTAAACCTTAGTCACTTTAATTCATCTATTACTCATTCAAACCTTCAACCGTCCTGCAACCACACCCTGCCATGTTAAATTAGCCAAGAGATGGATCAGTCCAAGTACTGGATTTCCAAAATAACCTGTTTTCACCCAGCTGTTTTTACTGTATTAACTTTTCTTGGCAATGAGCTTAGGCTGCCTACAGTCCTCTTAGTGCTCTGGTTTTGGTCCTCATCATTGCAAAAGCTTTAGCGGTGGAAATATTATAGCACGGACTTCTAGTCTTTCCAGCCTGGTTTTTTCATAATATCAGAAATCCTTGCAATTGCCTATTGCTTCCTGCTTCTAACAAGCTAACTTCAAAGGGAGAGGATTCTTTCTAACCTCTCATTTCCTGCCAAGTGTGAGGTATTGCTATGAAGAGAATATTAAAGTTTGTAGGCTGATCAGGGAAACGTCTTCAGTTCAAGTTGCTCTCTAGCAAATGATTTTGAGCTCCAAAGACAAAGAATTTTTTATTATTATTATTATTATTATTGTCAATTGTATTTAAATATAAGTATGGGCAAGGAGGACTGCTGATTCATACTTCAAGCTTTCATGCTTGTGTTGTTAACTATATTTTTAATTTCTGCCTTCATTGTTTGTTCTATCAATCCCAGGAGACTAAACAAAGAGACTGGCTTCCTTCATTTTTGCCTCTCTGCTTAAAAATCAAGGTTTACGCAAAGGGGTTAGTGAGCTCTAATTACAAATAATCACTGCAATGAGACGTTGCATGTGGTTACCATAGAAACTCTGCAGATGCCATGCCAGTGGGTGTTGTGTTGATATATGGATGTTGCGTACAAAATGCTGCCCGTTAATTAAATATGCCAGAGCTGCAAATGTTCAGACATATCCGGATGTGCTGCAACACACTTCTTCTTTTTTTGTTT